AAAGAAAAGTTGTGTTTCAGCAAAGTTGTGGTGCTTCAAAACTGGAGGGGGGGGGTCAAAACGGCGGATACTTTTTCACCGACCTAATATAATGCTTGCAAAGTCCTTTTGGAATACTTCCGTACTTTTTCTTTTTCAACTTTCAGAGCCTTATAAAACTTTTGAAGCTTTATAGGACTTTTGGTATGAAATAGCACCGAAAGTTAAAGATTGATTTTCAAAATCTCTCTTATGCAACAATATCGAACTTTTTTTTGAAACTTTTTCCACATTTCGAAATGTTCTCTTCCCATTTTCTATCCCTACCAAACATTTTATAGCTACTTCAACTATTGCGAACTCTCTCCTACCCTGAGAAACATTACAGATGCGACCTCCCTCGTTGAACTTTGCGAAGCGATCAGTTGACCCTGACTCGTGCACTGTGTTTCCATTCATCGTGGTGCACTGTTTAGACCATGGTGGCTCAAGACTGGGATGTTGGTTTTGTTTACTATCAAAACTGCACGGGATTCAATAGATCAGAAGCAGATCACATGTGGAGGTGAGTTTCGTGCTCGCAATACATCAGTTGCTTTTACAAGGATTACCAAATTACTGTTGTCCGCTGTGATTCGAACTTGGACATTGAGGCGGTCGTATGTTTTGAGCTCTATTCATTTTGATTGCCGACTGGGTGAGCAGTTCAAAACAAGTGCCCATCTCTCCATCGGAAACAGAGAACATACAAGCATACATGGAACAGAAAATAAAGCAAGCAAGTATTACACAAGCAAACACAAACACAACAGGTTAGAGGGGTAGCAATGCGAAAACGACCGGCTCCTGTACGCGCACGCATCAATGCGGAATGCTGAGAACCCGGTTCTAGACCACAGACTTATTTTGTGATGCCGGTATATAGACGGTTGCTTTTTTTGTGTGTTCTACGCGAATGGAGAAGCAGACTTCATACCGTTCAACCTGCGGAGATACATAAAGCTAATACAGGAGAGCCGACAAACAGCTGGCTTGCTTTCTTCTCCAAGTTTGAATCACGGGTACCTTCGAAACTAATGGTATCGCAAGCTCATCACCGGAAATTACTAATCCTTTTCAATTCTGTCCATCCTTCCCACTTTGAAAGCCAACATTAGGAATATGATGCGACAGCTTCAAGGATCTCACTAGGAAGCGATGAGAAATCAGATCCGAGCGAGGCCAGGAAGGCTCTTGCTTGAATCGAACACACTTTTCAAAAGTGGGGGACTTTCAACGACCAATAAGGTCGCGGCTCAGCATGCGGGTACAAGCCTATCGAGCAGCTCGATTTACATGATCAACCCTTAGGAGGTCCACTGAGCAATCTGTTCCTGGGCTTCTCAATTTGTGCCGCATTCCACCAGCACCAACCAGCCGGGGTAGTGGTGGCTGATCCAGGTCGATGTCTTGTTGAGTAACTTCTTCAAGTCGAAATGGTGTTTGGACATATAGTTTCAGAAATGTCTCATGTCCTCTCAGGTCCCGAACCAGGCGCAACACCGAAACGTTGATGTCGTTTTTGAAAAATTGTTGTTAATAATTCCGATCACAAGCTGAATTATTCTGACATCTATGCCGAAAAAATCCGAGACTTGGTGGGTGTCAACGTGGACACGGAAATTCAAAGGGATTCTCCATCATCTAAGGAATGGATAGCACGCGATCCCTAGAACTTGATATTTATCGCTAATTCCCGATGTATTATGCCTGTTTGTCCCTCTGCGCCTCATTTTTTTAAACATAACATCCCTATCGTGAATTTCGTTGAGGATTGTAATCATGAATTCAATCATTGTTCATAGGCCTTTTGACATCCGCACGGAAGAGTCTCCCGCCCTCAATCGCAAACGAATCGACCACTGTAGTGAGCCACACTTGGAAATGTTGGAGTACATGGAGAAATTCATGAAATCCTATCCAGGTAAGAAAGAGCGCTAAAGAATACTAATGTTTAAATAAATATATAATAAATAACTATACATCTGCTCCAAAACTCACAGGCCTTTGCTGCTAAACGATTGAAACAAGCGCCAGAGAAGCCCCTGAATTCTTCATTTTTATAGCTCACTTAACTACCGTGTTGCAAACTTACAGAACAAAATCAGGTGTGAGCTGCGCTTGATAGTGTACATGTGCACCAATTCATAACACACAAGATCTTATTGTATGCGATTGACACGCGGCTGAGCCCAGTACGGCTTACGCTCATGTGCTTCATTCCGAGATCACCTTATCTTAACACGTTGACAACAGGCTGACGCGCATGCGCGTCAGAACTATATAATTCATTTTTATTGTGCTTGCGCTCCTTCTTCTCGAGTTTTTTGTATTCATTCTATAGATAATACATTAGCATAACTATAAACCACATGGCAGCCAGAGTGGTCAAATATCCCTTGATTTAGCAAGGATTTCTGAACTTTTGCTTGTTTTCCTAGTATTCCTTTCACTGTCGTAAACATTCACATGAAAGATTGTAGATTAGTACAAAACTCTGTGAGTTTCAAGATATTTGTATTTGATGGAAGAACTTAGATATAAATGCTTTTAACTTCATTCGCAGCGAAAGTGATGTTTTTTGCTTCTTCGTGGTCATTATGCGTTCTTCTAAACAAAAATCTACTGCTATTTATATAACCTTTATGCTTTCATCCTTGCCGAAATAATTCTATGAGATTCAAGTTATTGTGCATTTTAACAAAAAATAAGCGGAAGTAAGGTGAGGACGGCGCGCTCGCAAAATCGCTCCTGTCCCACGCGGTGCAAAATGCCAAGAACACGCGATGTCGTCTATTACGCAATTGAGCTGTAAGATGTGATTACAATTGTATAAGTGGCTTACCAAACTTTTGATAACTTTACGTTCCCATTATCACTTTTTTACACAGACTCCGCCAAGGAAGAGGAGCTTAGCAAGGAAACTTGCCCACCTTCTGTCAAGAGAGAGGAAAATTTGCTTAGCTGGATGCCTCAATCTCTTCAGAAGAAAACCCTTCTTTCGCACTTTTTGGTCTACTGAAATGCTTCTCAACATCGGCCAAGGGCTAGCGGATATTCTACCTCAGCGTCATGCCATCGTGAGTTCAAATAACCAGACGGTCTGACTCTCCTGCACGTAGCATTTCATCTCACGAAGAGCGAACAATGGCTCAGTGACAGGCTGACTTTTCAAGATGAAAAAGTGTGTGAGACGTCTTGAAGAAAGTAAGCGCTATTTCGGGTATCAGATCTCGGGAATCAACTCTATGGAGATGTCATCG